AGCATGTAGCTAAAAATATGCTACAATTTTGACTAAATCTGCACTTGACAGAATTGAAAAAACCAGCAAAAACATTTAGGAACAGCAGTATACTCAACAAGTTCAAATCATGTCAGATTTGATGCAACTCGTCCACCAACACCCTATATGTACACACTAACGTGGATCCGAGTATTACTCACACTCCTTTTGATTAAGATCGTCAAAGCATAAGCATGTGAGTAAAGATTGGTGAAAAGCTGTTAATGATGAGTATGAGTAAAAAAAGACAGAAAAATCTTACTTGGATAATGAATCCCCACAAAGACTGCCTCGTAATTATCTTCACCAGAACTTCCAACACTGCAGGTGAAAACTCCCTCAATGGGAACCGTATCCATTTATTTAAGTAGAGTAAGCTTGTTATATCCAAGTTTACGTCCTATTTCACTGTTCCATCCAAAATAGCTGGGTTTGTTTTCGGTAACCCTTGGAAGTTCAGTCAATTCTTCACTTCCTATAAACTGGTGAAACCAACTGAAGCTTCTTTGAGCTCGAGTTGTCCAACAGATGAGTGTATCTCCACTGCTGTGGCTAACATCAGTGATCAGAATATGTTTAGTATGAATCACATCATCAACATCATCAGACAAAGTCAGAAACAAGTCTGTATAATCACCAGAAAAACACATTAATCTTAATTTACGTAGGTACACCAATGAAAACTGCATGTGCAGGTGAGGATGCATACGTAATTATTGGAGCACCCAATAAAAGTGACTGAGATCAATAGGAGAGCTGAAAAATATTTCAGCAGGCGCTCTACAAGTAAAATAATAAATTGCTAGTATATTATTATATAAAATTAGGTACTACTGTACAAGTGTGTGTTTTACAGTCACTGTAAGTCGAAAATCGTTTTAAAAATTAAGAATTGGGAAACCCGAAGATGCCTATTCTGAAATGGTCTATTCCTTATTTTAGTAAAATCTCATGACACAAACTAGCTATATACACCCAAATCATCACACATTAAAACGTGTTTAGGATGTTTATTAGACACAAAGATGTTGGGATGGGGTGTGAACAACTTCTCAGTGTAGGCATTTCATGTTTCCAGAATTCACCACTTAAAATATCAATAAAGGATTTAAAGTGGGACACTAAAATGGAGACACATCTCTAATAGGGACACAATTTATTGTTTATAGATCACAGGGGTTCATCTGCAATGGACTGCCTTTTTAGACAGTTTATCCAATTGTGTAATGGTTTATTTTTCCATGTGTTGTTGGCTGGCAAGCCATGTTGACAAACCTAATCCATACATATCACCTAGTATGCAGTTATGACTAGCTAGAGTGTTTGTTGTTGACACAGGTTGTTGTGAGAATAACTTCTGTCTGCGTTCAGAAGTGCAAGCGGATTGCTACAATCCCAAGTTTTCTCCAAGACAATCTACATTGCGCTAGGTCGTCGACTGAGTGTTATCAGAGAGAATGCACACCAGCTTTTGCCGGGAGTTGCTCAGTGCTTTTATTAATGAGTCCACTGGACCTGCACTCCATTCCTGATTTTCGCATTTTCTCTCCTGTACTTTGACCTAAGACGTGCTGTGCTATTGGCTGTAAACTGAACAATCTTTAGGTCGAAAGAATCTTCTTTCAACAACCAGATCCACAGTTGCCAACTTTTCCAGAGGACAATCAGGGACAGCGCGCGACCCCGCCCCCTTATAAAAAGGACACGCCCAGTTATTGCGTAAAATAACGCGAGTATTATACTAGTGGAAATGTTGAACATTGTTGGCGAGCGGGAGCGACCCAACTTTGGATTTGCCGGCGATGTTCGGGCTGCATAACGTGCCGTCAGCTCACAGCTTTCCTTTCGTGGAGCAAGACAGATGTACCTGTCGCAGTTGCATGCATTGGCAGAACGGTGAGCAGGTGAGCAGAACGGTACTTATCTTACGCTTTCACCAGGCAGCTGGCATGCAGCAGTATGTGTACGCGTATTTGCAAGTTGCACCTTGGAACCATGAAGATTGGGAAGAGGTATATACAGCATCGGTCAGTCACCGAAGGTTGCAGCGCATGCTATCGAATGGAAGAGAGTTCTCTAGCTGGTTAAATCGATCGGCGATCGCGAGGCACCGTGTGTGAAAATGTGTAAAATAAAATAGTAAAAGAAGCGCGTACAAAGCCGCGCATGCGCACTTACACGACGTATAATTAAAAATTCCGCTCGAACGAACGACGACTAGGGTCGGCTCGCTCCCGCTCGCCATTTTGCGCCTGCTGCGCGTGCGAGTACTACGTACTAGGTCTCTATATGTGTGAGGGGGACTTACATGGGCGGTGCCATTCATGTTCGCGCTACTGCTGCATCATCTGATTGCGTCTCAAGACAGGACGAAGTAATCAACTCCTTCGCCTCCGACTCCTGCCTAAAATTGAATACCAACAAGTTTGAGGTAGTGAAGATCTCTCCCTACTCTAGCGATATGGCTTCTGTTCAAATTTGCAACTCCAACATCGCCACCTCCAGTGCCTCAAAGTGTCTTGGAGTATGGTGGAACTCAAACCTATCTGCCCAACACTCTGTTTCTGATAACGTCAACAAGGCCAGCAGAGCTTTCTTTGCTCTTGGGAGGCTGGGAGCTTTCCAGGGTGATTTAAATCCCCTATCTTCATGCAGTATCTTCGAAACCTGTATTATCCCAATACTACTATACTGCAGTGAGACCTGGTTGCTGGACTCCACCTCTCTCAATACTCTAGAGAGTTTCCAACATGAGATTGGATGCCGCATTTTGCGCGTGCCAAAATTCTGCTCCAAACTTGCTGTACGTATCGGTCTTCATTGGCCCACAGTTGCTACCCGTATTCTCAGTTCAGCTTTCTCAGCAAGCTCCTATCAGGAACTAAAAACACAATCAGCCGCAGGGTTTTTTCCTCACTTGCAATGGAAAATATATATGAGACATCCATAGTCCAACAGTGCAGAATGTTGGAAGCAAACCTGGGTACGTGTGTCCTTGCAAAATGCCTATCAGATCCTGAAAGTGCACATGACATTGTTAGAAGCGACAAAAAACACCTCCTTAACTCCGATTTCAAGATTCTACTGCTTTCAGCCACCCAAAGCTGTGGATCAGCTGCTGCAGCCTCTCGAGTTGCCACTCATACATCATGGCGCCGTTTATGGGACGTTGCCTTAGACCAAGGAGTTAAAGGCACTCGCATCATGCAGGCGATTTTCAAGGAACTCTGCTGTCCAAGCTCATGTTTCCAGTGTTCGCTATGTGACTCAGCGGTGCCCAGAAACATCTCATGCCTCGAACACGCTTGTGTAAACCACCCAAGCGAAATGGAGAACCTTTCATATGATCATATTATTTCCCTTCTCATAAATGCAGAATCCGCTGTCTCCATTTTTTCATCGTGTAAAGTGTGCATACAGCAGCTGCTTTTGGACCCTTAAACACAGTAATTAAATTGTTGTCACAATGTTGTTTCCTTTAATGTACTGTGCATATGCCCGCTGGGTCACTGCCATTATTATTATTACTACGTGTTGATGCGCGCAGCCTATCCCTCGTGTTGACAGGCAACGCAGAGCCTCGCGCGGAGACCAAAAGCTAGCTAGCTTAGTAAATTTACCAAGAAACTGTGACTAAAGGTACGGTTTGAACTATGAAATGGTCACCTTACGCTGGCTAGCTTATAAATTCCGGGACATTATTTCTATTTTGCCTCGACCGGGACACCGCCGGGACAATGCCCAAACTTCCGGGACTGTCCCGGCCATTCCGGGACGGTTGGCAACTATGCTGAGATCTATTAAATTAACAGTTTATAACTATAGCTATTACTCACAAATTATCTTGAACTAATTTGTTGAAGTTCTTGAACTAGATTTTCTTAGCAGACTGGATCTTACCCGGTAGCTATTTATTCACAACTGATCTACACTGTGCAGTTCCTGTGTCTGTTAGCTTTGAAGATATGCCAATTGTCCCCTTCAGGCTACCACTAGCCATTAGCTAATTAGCCATTTTGCTCACCTTCACTTGCTATTGCCACCCGTGATAATGTACTGAGTACACAGAGAACCCCCACAACATCCATCGGAAAGCAACAGCTATCTCACTTCTGAAAGAAAACTCACAAAGGCCAGGTAGCTAGCTAGGCACTAATGAGGGCATTGTGAAGAGGATGTGGTCAATAAGAACCGCTGCTAGGTTACTCAAGCACTGCCCGCGTTTCCAAAATAAACATTTTTCAGTCAAATGCAACTGGAGTGAGCCAAAACAACATTGCGGGCTGGCCCTCCAGTGCAGGCTTCCGCTTATGGGTGGTCACAGCCACCAGAAAAAGACTGATCACATGCATACACATTACACTTATAATTATATCATGCTACCACATGCATTAGACCCTGGTCCACGTGCAAGGTGCACTATGTTGACCTGAACATGTAGTTCGAGCAGGTGGAGATGGAGGGATAGGGAATGAGGGAGGGTGAGGGAGAAGAGCTTGTGGTTTCTGTGTATTTGGAAGGTATTGAGTCAAGATCGAGTGAGATTGTAGTCTGCTTGCCTTTGTGATCAACCATGAAAACTAAACACTCACGCTTTCACATGTAGAAAGTAGAAAACAAGAGAGAGAAGAGGGGAGGACTCCTAAAGGGCTTCACACCTACATTAAATAAAAAAGAAACAGCACATTAACAAAGAACAAAGCTCACACTTGACTAACTCTACATGCGTGAGCTGGCGCACAGTGGTGAAAATGGATTGCAGTATAAAAACGATAGTAACTGTGATTTAAAAATATATAGGATATATATATATATTATATTAGAGTCGGTAGACTCTCTATATAGGGATGACACGGGTGAAATCTCACGTGATCCACGTACAAAACGACTAAAAACTCGGCGAGAATCACTTCCTAGGCCTTCAAAACATACTAGCAATAGTCTACGGGCCCATATCTACCTATACATGTCCCCCCAAGCTCATACCATAGATAATATAGTTCCGCTATATTATCTATGGTTCAAGTTACTATACTCTGAGTATATACTTGAACGCAGCTTCAATAAGTGATGAATCATTCACAACATTTACAGGTGAAGTCATGTTACTAACTGATTGTATCATACACAGGCTCTTGTGTATGGGTAGGTGATGAATCAGTCCTTCTTGATGGTTTGTATCTCACACCCAGAGTTACACCATAGGCTGGATTATCCTCTGTGTACATTCTTGGCTTGGCTCTGCGATGTGATCTAAAAATGATTTTAAACTCCCAATAATAATAATTGCATGAAGTTGTTAGCTACCTTTTGAATACAGTCCAGGAAATGGCAATTCCAAAAGTAACGATTCCAATTAATGCTACACCACTTCCAATTCCAAGTATAGCAGCAGTCTTTCTTAAAGTCGGAACTGCAGATTAAAAAAGGTGTAGCTAGATGATTCTAGAAATTTTAAGAGAGGAAAGAATAACAGTCCTTCTTACTTGACTCAGCACCTAGTGTAGCCACAGTAAGAGAGGTAGCATTTCCAGGTCCCACTCTGGTGTAGGCTCTCACAGAGAAGATGAATTCAGTGGCCTCCTCAAGGTTGCTCTCTGTGGTGAAATTAGTGGCCAGAGCAGAGGAGTTCACTCTAGTCTCAGGCTCTGAGGAAGCTGTTTGTCTGTAGGAAACCTCATATGCTATGATTATTCCATTAGGCATCAGTGGTGGCTCCCATGTCAGGGTTACTTGAGACAGAGAGGGAGATGCCATGACTGCACCTACTGGACCTGGAACTAAAACAGCATTATAAATAGTGAAGGCACTGCTATCAATTTTGTAAGACATAATTAACCATCTTCTGTGGTACTATTAGTGGTGGGGTAGCTAACTGTAAACAGTAACAGTAAAAGTAAAGAAGGACCTTACTATCTTCAAATGTTTCCACTGTAATTGAGGGGCAATAGGGGACGAATTCTCCCTCTTCATTCATTGCAGCCACCTCAACGGAGTAAAGTGTGTAGGGTACCAGTCCAGTCAGTGAGATTTCCTCTCTTGTTTCATTGACAGTATTGTGTGGCATACCACTGGACTCTGCTTTGTACTTCACCCTGTATTTGACTATCTGACTGGTACTATTGCAGGCCGCCATACCAGTCCATCGGACTATAATGGATGTTGAACTCATAGCTTCTGGTCTAATGTCCACTGCAAGTGCTGAGGCACCTGAAAAGAGCAAAACAACTATGTAGGTAGATAAAAATGTGAGGATGTACGGGTTTAATACCTAAAGCAATTGTGTGGATATCAGACTCTCCGGAAAGGTGTTCTGATATTGCTTCGACTATAAAAGTGTATTCAAGGCAGTTAGTAAGGTTTGTTATGGAGGAGCTAGTTGAAGGTGCAGGTACATCCTCAGTCATTTTATCAACTCCATCACTGTAGTGTACTACATATGCAGTCACTGTGGCTCCTCCTGATGGCTGACTCCACTCCACTATCACTGACTTTGCTGATTTCTGCTTTACAGAAAGTATGATAGGGTTTGAAGACACTGAGAAAAATGGGTGATCTTATACCATACGTAATAAGAAAAATAACCCAATACCTTTCAGATAGGAACTGCTAGATGAGTTGGACACTATATTGGAAGAAAAACAGATGTATGTGTCGCTATTATTACCACCTTGAAGAAGGATCTCTGCAGAGTATGAGTCATTCCCTGTCCTTTGAGGTGTGCCTACTGCAGAGGTATCCAAGTCTTCCTGCCTACCCAATGGCCCACTGATGGACATTGTCAGTACTGCTCCGCCAGTAGAAGTACATTTGACTTTGAAAACTCCATTTCTTTTGTCTGTTACTTCGAAAGTCACTACCACACTGAGGACTAAACAGACACGTTTGTATAAATAATTGTTGTATACTAATGAAAGTGCAAACCCTCGGCGAACTGCGCATGCGCTATACTCTAATTGATGGCTTGCGTTTACTCGTAATCTCCCGCTAGTAGCTCGCGGAGAGTCTGACACGGGCTAGCTACAGCAGTATATAGCATGCGTGAGTCGATATATGCCATTCGTTGTGGCTTCCTGAGCCCCTAAGCTACACAGGAGCGAGCGGATCAGGTCGCCCAGTGCTAATAGGCCTTTTCGCTTGTTTTCACGGCAGAACGCAGTCGTTTCCTTTTCTTTTTCAGGCTCGCGTACTTATGAAGCCGCTGGTATATCGCTAATAGGCCGCCCCGTCGCCTGTAGTACCGGAATAAGTGTCGACACACACAGACCAGCCCTCGCTGCGCATGCGCGCCGAGGTTTCGGTGACGCCCTATAGTATGGATGGCACAGATTATTCACACAATGTGCCTCAAAACTAACGGAGAACGCCTGGCTACGACGTTTGGCACTCTTGCATGACACATGTAATTGGGTATAATGCTCGTGAAGAGTCAGATTTTCATGTTTTGCTTATTAGCATAACCTCCTATGCATTCAGTTTAGTTCTTTGCGACTATGCAGTGTAGGCATATTCTTGTCTGCCTTCTTTTTAATGATGTACGAAATTTTTCGCTGTGCATGTAGACAGATTTTGTCGTCATGCGTGGGTGGATCAAAAGCGCCGCCACGTACTATATTATCGGGGCGAAATACCCGCAACGAGCGCTATATCAACTTCCTATGAGTGTTATATCAACTTCCTGTGAGACGGCCAGCGACGGCGAAGGGACTAGCGCGACAACGGATGAACGTGAAATCAGCTAAGAGACGCTCAGGGTCACTACCTGCAAGCAATACGGCGGAGAAGCAGAAAACAATCGACACAAACAAGAATTTTTTGCGCCATTTTCCGTAGCAACGCCGGTCATGTCGACATAAATTACTTTTGTCATGTCCGTAGTTCGGTACGTTTCCGGAATAAATATTCCGGCAACGTACCTCACGGACATGACATAACTAATACTAAGACTCACTGGGGTGAGAGATGTTGACAGAGACAGAGCCTTCATCTGTGTTGCAAGTAAAATTCCTTCCATGGTTCCCTATGTGAGAGTAAACCAGTTAGTTCCTATCTGAAAGGTTAGTGTATGGGTGTAGGCATATTCTCGTCTGCCTTCTTTTTCATGATGTGACATCAAAATGTTTGACGTGCATGTAGTTACAGATTAAGACTCACTGGGGTGAGAGATGTTGACAGAGACAGAGCTTTCATTTGTGTTGCAAGTAAATATTCCTTCCACGGCTCTGCTGCCTGGTGTTCTAAAGAGTGTCAACCATTGACGGCGATTCTGGTGCCCACTTTTAGACGACCATCCTTTTATTTCCAATTCCCTGTCTCCCCTTTGGTTTTGTGTGAGTTTGTGATCCCAACCGAAACCACTTTGGTATTTAGACGACGTAAATGAGCAGATGAGACCACTCTCAGTGCTCTGACCAATATCAGTGATCTTAACATGTGTCCCTTCCAGAACAATACCAGATAGAGTCAATTCCAAACCTGCAGATTATGTCGGTGGAGAAAATAATCTGTGGTCTTACACCACAAGTGGACAATCATTCATCTCTTAGAGAAGGTAAAGCAGTAGAAATATGGCAACACTACGATTTTACACACCAACTCCAGGGGCTGCACAGCCTCTCCCACGTTCCCCATTACTTTTGTTCCATAGATTGATTATACAGTGTTGTTGACCCACAGCTCCTTTTATGCTCAAACACACACACCTTACTATACTTGCATAGCCGTATCAGTTTTGTGCAGCAGTGGTTAGATGGGGACACATGAGTAGCTAGCTGGGCAGCTAACACCTCGTGAATACACATGCAATTGCATATGGCATGATGTGTTATGTGTTGGCAGTGTCCACAACAAACTGCATATGCTGGTACAACAAGATAAAGATAACCGTGAAATTGCACACACATCAACCAAAACCACACACCACTCATACAACAAACACAGAATGAGAGTGCATTATAAGCAACCATTAAGTGGTGCATAACAAGTCACGACAAGCTCAGATTAACATGTTTGATATAAGTTTTTTGTAATTCCCCATGTTCCGACAGTTCATGTTATGTGAACATGAGAACAAGGACACAAAATCTTTTACTCTCCTGCGCATGCCTTTGTTTAAAATTTCTCTTTATGCATGAATATAGCTAACAGGAGCATGAAAATTATTGTAGTCAAGCTACAAAACAAGGCCAAGTTCCCGTTTTGCAGTTCATGCTATAATATACAATATACCAAAAAGTCAATCTTAATCTGTTAACATAAACTGACCAGTTGCTTAAATAAGCCCAATCAGATGCCAGCGGAGAGAGTTAGTCACTATAGGCACAGCAACTAACCCCTACTATAGCCATATCATTATGCTTGCATTAAGTGTTGAGCATGGTCTCACTGGTGGAACAGGCATATATATAAGTTAGAGTGTCTGGGGGTTGAGACAGAGACATGTGTCCCAGTCATTGTGAGTGCTGCATAGTCGATGGTTCTAGTGTTATAGCTGCCACCTAAGTATAATTACACTTTAGACGGCGGAATATAACATGTCAGGATAGTAGAATACCACCTCAAACTCAACCCCACCAATAGCAATCACTGTGTCTCTCAGCAGCCTGTTTCAGGCAATCTCTTGCACAAGCTACAAAACAAGTTTCAAGTTGCTGGCTACGTGCCTGTACACATTAGTGAAACTGAAACCACCCCCGCGCTCACCTTCGCAGTAAAGTGGCACTTGATGTAATATGTACAGGCCAAAGAGAACGATCCGCCAGTGCTGCATGATCCTCTACGGTCGACGCAGACTGCTCATCGAAACTACGCGTATCTATGGACTCTCTTTGCGCATGCCCAGGGCGACGCCAGTCGAGCTACTGTACCCAGCATTGCTGGTTGCATAGCTAGGTGTGTAGGTGCCATGTACACCAACACCAATCGCATTACCCTGCTATATGCCAATGCGCTCGCGGGGAAACTGCGCAGCGAGACCTATCTACGTAGTTCTTGGCATTGCAACACTATGCAGAGAATGACGGTGGCATTGCTCTATCCCTCGTTCTATCCTATTGTATAGCGCGCTTACAACTACGATCGGATAACATAGCCTGTTTACTGCCCGAGATGCATCTAGTCCGGCGTAGCCTTCCTTCTTCCGCGTGCGCTGGCCGCGCCAGAGAGAGGTCGTCTGCTGTGCTAGATTATGCGCATGCATGTGCAAGTTACCCCTTGACGCCTACGAACGTGTATATAGTAATGAAAGGGTAGAAGCTATTTCTGTCAGTTGTATTATACAAAAAAATTATAATCATAGCAGAGACCCTGTAGCAAAGCTCCTCAGTGCAGTTAAGTCAGGTTGAAATTAAATTCCGCATCGCGCGTCCAGTTTTGGCTGTGTAAGTATAACCTGCCGTTTCCAAATAATATACTTATCTGAACTGAGACTTTGTAATTAAGATGATGGACTATCACTATTGGTATCATCTTTTTATGAACGAATAAGGATTGATACGAAAGTGTACAAGAGCGCAAGATTGAAACTGACTATAAACCGGATATAAGAGGCTAGGCGGACGCGTTTTATTAGTAAGTCTTTATATCAAACGAAAGCTCATCGAAGCTGCTTCACAGTCACGACTGAGAATTGGGTCCATCTATCACGGTAAGACTGGCAGCGGCACAAATAGACCACAATCTAGAACACTCTGAAATTCAGCTCGCCGGCTCAGCGCAACTAGTGACTAAGGAACAAAATCTCAGTCGCTACCTTGCTTGATACATCTTTTGCTTTCTCTACACCGACT